TTTGGTTTTTCTCCGGTACCGGGAACCGAACTCACGACCTTGCGCTTGCCAGGCAGGCGCTTTTGCCGCTGAGCTAAATCCCCAGCCCCTGGTTGGATTTTTGAGACAGGCTGGCCTTGAACTCACTATGTAGCCCAGGCTGGCCTCAAACTTATGGCAGTCCTCCTGCCTCAGCCTCCTAAATGCTGGGATTACAGGTGTGCACCGCAACACCCAGTGTCTCTCCTGTCTTCTCTAATTTTCTCCAATCAGATTTTCATCTCATTCACTGGGCCTGCTTTTCTCAAGGTCGGGAGTGAAGTCGGTCCTCACCTTGTCTGGCCTAGGCACGAGCAGCACCTTGCACGGTTGATGCTTCTCTCCTTGACACACTTGCTTCACTTACCCTGGCATAGGAAGCCTCTTGATTTTCCTGTTTCACTGTTGTTCCTACTCAGTGCCCTGGCTGGCTTCTCCTGCTTTGTCCTCTGGATGTCTGAATGACCCGGGGCTCAGTCTTTGACTTTCCTCCCAGTTCATCCAGCCTGGCTCACCGGCGGTGCCCCCGCCCTGTGCACCCGCCGGCCAACTCTTCTGGACCCAGAGTCGCTGGGTCCTCGCTGCTCCGCTCGGTCTCGTTAGTAACCGACTCGCCCTTCCATCTTCGCAGACTGAACCCTGGGGTAAGGTTAGGCGCCGTCACCCCCACGCCGCTCCGCAGCGCCTCTCCGGCTGGCTGCCGGCGGCTCCTGCAGGCCGCTGCTCCCGCACAGCCGGCCGGGCTCCGGGAAGGCGCCCGTGGGGCGCGTCCCTTCCCGCCCTCGCCCTCTCCTGGCCCCCATGACCAAAGCCAAGGGCCCTCCGAGCCTTCAGCCCCCGACTCCCCGCGGCCCCCTCCCACCTCGGACAGCTCCGCGCGGCCCCCGGAGGCTCCTTCCCCGCGGCCGCGGCTGCGAGGCCCACGCGCCCCTTTCCGCCTTCAGGCCTTCGGCAGTGTCACCTTGTCAGAGGTCTGACTCTCCCGTCCGCGTCTCTGGCCCCAGCTCCCGCTCTGCCTGTCCCCTTGCTGCCGGCTGACAGTGGCTAGCGCCGGCTCTGAGTGTCTGCCCACCCCAGATCAGTCTTAGCGCGAGGGGCCAAAGAACAACCAAAAGCTGTCAAGCACATTTTAAAAACTGAATCCAGCCGGGCGTGGTGGCGCACACCTGTAATCCCAGCACTCGAGAGGCTGAGGCAGGAGGATCGTTCCGAGTTCGAGACCAGCCTGGGCTACAAAGTGAGCTCACGGCCAGCCTGAACTGCACAGTGAGACTCAGTCTAAAAAAAAAAACCAAAATTATTAGCAACTTCTAGTAAGCAGAATTTCAGAGATACAGGTTCTAAGTCTCAAATCCCAGCTCCTGCTTTCCTAGAGAAACAGTGATGTGGGGGCCACACCTGCTAAGCTCTGCGGCGCACGACAAGCGGCTGGGACAGCGAGGGACCTGCGCGGCCCCAAGGGCTGACCCGCCCGCAGTCCGCCCGCAGCGCCACAGCCCCACTTCCAGGCTGAGTCCAGCGCCACCGAGCGGCCATGCCGCGGGCGCTTCTTACCGAGCCCTTCTCGCCGGCTTTCCTCGCTGCCTCTGTTCAACTTTTTGTTTTTTTGAAACAAAGTCTCACTATGTAGCCCAGTCTGGCCTTGAATTTGCATCGATCCTCTTGCTTCACCACACCCGACTTCTTACCTGTTATTTTAAAATTGAGCTCTGGGCTAGGGATGTAGTTCAATGGTAGCACATTTACCTAGTAGGCACAAGGCCCTGGATTCAATCCTCAGCGCTACAAATAAATGTAAAAAATAAAATTCATCTCCTGACTTATTTTCTGTGCGCATCATAACATATATCACAATCTAGCATAATTTGAAACAATGCAATTTCCATAATATGAAGTACTATACACCTATAAAAAAGACAGAACCCCGTGCATTGGTATAGAATATTTTAAAGGTATATTGTGGGGAAAAAAAACCCCAAGGTACAGCACAGTGAATAGAATAGCACCCTGTATAGTGAGAGATGTATTTGCTTGTATTTTCATATGCTATCACTGGCTAAGGAAGAGGGGACACTGACAACGTCGCTTGCCTCTGTGAAGGGAACTAGTTGGATCAAGACAGGAGTGTGGGGCTTTTCACTGCACAGTCTTTCGGACTTTGAATCACATAATGTACCACCTGTTAAAAATACATATTCAAAAAGTATATTTGCTTTGTTTCCTATCTCCTAAAAGAGAACTATAGGTTCATAAGAGCATACACCACGTACACCTGAGGTAGGTGATAGTAACTCTGAGGCCAGCCAAGGAGAGAGACCCCATCTCAAAAAAACAAAACGAAACAAAAACAACAAACTCCCAGAACAGTCTTCAGAGGACTGGAGAGAGATACCGAATTGTTCTGTAGTGTGGCATACTGTGTTACCGCTATCGTTAAGCTTTAAGAACGGAAACAAACAAAAGCAAAAAGGAAGCGTATGGAGAGAGGATGGGTGTGGAAACCCGGCCTGGCCACAGCCGGCCTCCAAGCCAGCGCCCGCGATCCGAAAGGGCGGCTTCGGCCCCGCCCCGCCCTGCCGCGGCCTCCGCGGGGAAACCCTCACCGCTGTCGTTCCGGTAACAGGGCAGTCCGAAGACCGTCTTCTGCAGCGGATTCTAAACTCCCTGAGGTCAGGAACTGGGTTCGTCCTGCGCGCGAGTGTGCCCCGAGCCTGGAACAGAAGGAACAAAAGATGGGTGGACGGACAGACGGAGAGGCGGATGGATGAACCAAAGAGATGAAGGGCCATCCGAACGGAGACGCTAACCAGGCGCTGTCATACCCCCGCTGACCAGGAGGTGGCGCCAGAGGAGCACTTCTGAGATGGAGTCCTCAGCCTGAGCCAAGAGGCGAGGGTGCAGAGTCCTATTTTGGACCAGGGGAGCGGGGGGGCATTTAGATGATCTTTAAGAGGCACATCTGGGCCAGGAAGCCTGGATCCGCAAGCAGAGATCAATACTGTATAAAAAAACAGGTGTGTCTTGGTTCCTTTTTTCTCGCTGCTGGGACAAAATACCTGACGACCAAAATTAAGGAAGGAAAGGTTTATTTCGCTTACAGTTCGTGGAAGTCTTAATCAATACTTGGCAGGATTATAAGGCAGAGTGGCACATTGCAGAGAGCTGCATCTCAGGGCGGCAGCACACAGCTAAGCAAAAAGCACACACCAGAGTGGAATGACGGAGGAGGAATGCCCCCAAGCAGCTTCTTCCTCTTCCTTACATATGCAAACTATCCACTCCAGGCGGGTGCAGCTCTCACACCCATATTCAAACTCTAAAAGCCTGCCCCAAGTCCGCATGAGGCATTGGGGGGACACACAGACAAAAACCATAACAAGGTGCTACTGTGATCCTTAAGAGCCCTTGGACAGAAGCACTAAGTCTGTTTGGGACATTTGGGGAAGGTTTAGATGAAATTTGCGCTGCATCTAAAAATAAAAAAGGACCAGGTTTCAAGGCGCACGCCTGCAATCCCAGCACTGGGGAAGCTGAGGCAGGAGGATTGCCATGAGTTCAAGGCTACCTTGGGTTACAAAGTAAGTTCAAAGCCAGCCTGAAGTGGCAAAAGCGCCTGCCTGGCAAGCGCAAGGTCATGAGTTCGGTTCCCGGTACCGGAGAAAAACCAAAAAAAAAAAAAAAAAAAGAAACAAAGCCAGCCTGAATTGCATAGTGAAACTCTCAAAAAGACAAATTAAAAAAAAAAAAAAAGGTCCATCTGGTTGGAGGACATTATGAGTTGAGGGAACAGATTCCTGGGAAATAAGGAAGGGTGAGTTTCGAAAAACAGCTGGGTTGCCTTGAGTTTGGTGGGAGATAAAAGGGTAGAGGAAAAGGTCTGCTATTGAGGGTTACTTTTCCTGGGACTTGAGCCCAGGGCCTTGCACATGCCACGTGCGCTGTCATCCGTGCTACACCCCCGCTCTCGGGGTTCCGCTTATGATGAAGCAGTGAAAGTCTTAGGACTTTTTCTTTTTCTTTTTCTTTTCTTTTCTTTTTTTTTTTTTAACCTGGAATCAAACTCAGTACCTTGTGCTTGCCAGGCAGGTGCTTATGCCACTGAGCTATATCCCCGGCCCAGAAATAATCCATGGGCCGGGCATCCCACATACCTGTACATCAGCAACTCTGGAGGCTGAGGCAGGATGGCAAGTTCCAGGCCAGTCTGGGCAATTTATTGAGATCTTGTCTCAAAAATGAAAGAAATTTAAAAATGGGCCGGCTATAGCTCCATGGTAGAATGCGCCTGGTTCCATCCCCGGTATTGGGGAAAAAAACTCACCGGACTGATCTTATGTCAAGCAAACAATACAGTATGAGGCCCAACAAACTTGCTGTTTTGTTTGTTTTGTCTTTGTGGTACTGGAGATTGAACCCAGGGCCCTGTACATACTAGAAAAGTGCTCTATCAATGAGCTACATGCCCAGGCTGTTTTAAAAGGTATTATTTTGATTCTTTTTTTTTTTTTACAGTTTTGTTTTGCATCGGGAATCAAACTCAGGACCTTACATTTGACTGACAGGCGCTTGTACTGCTGAGCTATATCCCTGACTAAAAGTATTATTTTGAGACAGGGTCTTGCTAAGTTGCCTAGGCTGTGCTCGAACTTGTGATCCTTGGCCTCAGCCTCCTGAGTAGCTGGGATTAGAAGTGTGCACCACCGTACCCAGTAGTAAGCTTGTTGAATGAGTGAATCCTGAAACTTTGATTTGAAACTTGACTAAATGCTAGGTCCTGGCTGATGTTTTAAGAATATGTTTTCCAGCCCGGTGTGGTAGTGCACGCCTATAATCTTGTTAGGGTCGAGACACTCGCCGTGTGAAGGAAGACTCCAAGACACGTTTTCTCATGCAAAAAGCAAGGGGATTTTATTCACCAAGCATGCATGGGGCTCACTGAGCTCGCAGGAACAGAGACCCCAGAGCCAGGTCAGTTCTGGCTCTTTAACCCGAAAAACCACAAAGGAGGGGGCTTGCAAGCGTCATTACAGAAGCAGA